ACCTGCCTACCTACCTATACATACGTACACACGTCCATACGTACATGCATGCTTATGCCGGTACACCCAGAACAACTAGCATACGCACACCCACACACGTACTTGCTTACTTACTCACTCACCCTAGAGTCCTACAGCCTTGGATCCTGTAGTCTTGAAGACTGAGCTGCCGGGTATTCATGTCACCCCCTTCGGCCCTCAACCGAACACCCTAGACCCTAAACCCTAAACCATTAAAGCCCTAAGCCGGAAACCCTAGACCCTAAACCTAGCCTCCCAGGAGATCCCACTGAGAGTCCTACCGGAAGCTAAAGGACATAAGGGTTTAGGGTTTAGGGTTTACAGAGATCTATTAAAAAGGTTTCTAGAATACGGGGGCCTGAACTGGGCGTTGGAGTAACCAGGGAGAATAAAAATGTAAATGTTTACTTCATACTGCTTCGCTTCAGGTACCGACCCACGAACAATCACAACGTCTGGGACGCCAGACCACGGCTTATGGTTGGAATAACGCCGGGTAAATAATACTATACTTGTAAACGGGACTCTACCGCTGCCGGAATGCTATCGTTTACCCAGCCTTTACGCTACAAAGCTGGAGAATTTCGGGAGCTTCTTCGAGGACCCACGGGGTCAAATTCCAAGCCGATAGGATCGGGCACTTCTAGGCCTCTCCCCGCGGGCCGAAGAGGTCCGTGACTGAGGCCTGATTTTAGGGCTTGGGGTTTAGGGTTTAGGCGAAGGGGGCCCGGAAGTACTGGCACTTCTGGGGTGTGTGAAGGTTTAGGGACTCCTTTCGGGGTTGGAGTTTAGGGAAGTACTTGCACTTCTGGGGTTTGTAAAGGTTTAGGGACTCTTTTAGGTGTTTTGGGGTTTAGGGTTTAGGGAAGTACTTGCACTTCTGAGTTTTGTGAAGGTTTATGGACTCTTTTAGATTAAGGTTTTTTGATCGGGGGTTCGTATCAAGGGCTCGTGATCCGAACAAGTCAACAGTTTTCCAGCGCTTGTCCATAGCTACAGTTGCCATCAGGGCTTCCCTTCATCTCACGCAGCTTTGCAGGTCTGTCAAGGGCTTTGGGTTCGTTGGTGCGAAGCCCCAGCACCAAGTCTGGTCGACGCAGATCGAACCGGCCACAACTTCGCAATGAAACCTAAACACTGAAATGTCCCCGGCCCTCACATCCAACTTACGTGAAGCCGAACCGAACCAATGATCCTGAACCTGACAGTCTTGAATCCTCCACCGGGGTTAATTTAACTCCATCATCCTGAAACTCTCAAGTCTATAACCCCCACTCGCCACATATCAAGCTTCTTCTTAGATGCGCCCAAAACGCGAGCTCCCCCAAACCCTATACATGTATACTAGGTGTAAACCTCTAAGCCCCCAAGCAGTATTTCCTAAACCAAAAACCTTACAGAAAACCCTAAATCCTAAATCCTTATAAACACTACCCTAAACCCCTACACCCCTAAACCCCTAAACCCAAAACCCTAGACACACACCCCCCCCCCCCCAAACACGGCCTGTTCTGTCTCCTTCTTCTGCCAGAAGGCACGGTTTTCCGTCATGTGCTCGACCGCCTCTTGGACCTTCTGCACTCAGCGGACGTTTAAAGTTGAGGGGTTTAGGGTGTAGGGGTTTAGGGCTGAGGGGTTTAGGGTTGAGGGTTTGGGGGTTTAAGGGTTTAGGGGTTTAGGGTCTAGGGGTTTCGAGGTTTAGGGGTTTAGGGGTTTGGGTTTAGGGTTTACGGTTTAGGGCTTAGTGGTTTAGGGTTTAGGGGTTTCGGGCTTAAGGTTTAGGGCCTTCTATACTTAGAGGTTTCCCTTTTTTGACGGCTCTTTTCCTCGGCCGAGAGGGTTAAGGCTTGTCCTTGCCTGTATTATGTAAGAACTCTTGGGCTTGAAAAACTGCAGGTTGGGGGGATTCGGGATTTCGGATATAAGCGTTCAGGGTTTGAGGGCTTAGGCGTGATGCTGCTTTGGGAACAGCTTTTTGAGAACTGTTTGGGTCTTCTGGAAGTCAAGACGGCTTAAGGCTTCTATTTTCTATACCTTACCCATGGTTCAGGATCAGCTTGCGTTCGCAGATGCCATGCTTTGGTGCTGAGTCTTGCTCGGCACACACACGACCCGAAGACGGAACTAGATCTTCGTAAACTTCAATGAAACGACCCCCTCGGTTGCAGTGCCACGGACGAAGGGAAGAGGGGGAACCGTGTACAGTACCATGGCGTCTCACCCCTTGTGATCAAGTAGGTCTGGTTCCAACTGGCCGCAGTAGCCACCGAAGGGATGAGCCACGTGGTACTCCTCCCCGTAGCAAGCGCAGTAGTAGTGCGCTGGGTGCCGCTCCAAGGCTCAAAATGTCCCATCAGCACCATGTAGCAGAGTCTTTGCGGGGCCAAAAGCCTTGCAATGCTAAAATATCGCTCTCTACAAAGATGCGCGGAAAGACCTGACTAAGCCGACCCTGGGCGACGGTTCGAAACCACGCGTCACGGTGTTGGGGAGTAGGGATCAAACCTGAACCCTACACCATGCATGAACACTAAAGGCACTAAAGCCTAAACCGATACGCTGAACTCTACAACCAATACCCTAAACCTTAAACCCCAAACCCCAAAACTAATGCCCCAAACCCTAAACCCGAAACCCAAACCCAAACATAGCAGAGGCAGGGCCTCGGGAAGAAGCTCTGCAAGAGGCTGATAGAAGGGCGCGATCACAAAGTTGAGGAAGCCTTGCAATGGGGTGGGGGGGGTCGGGTTGCTTATGAGGCTTAAGACTGGGTTTCAGGCTTTGGTGATTGCTGTGACAGAGATGTCGTGTGCCACTGCTGCTCTCAACTCTTTTCCGGGCTTGTGGTATTCGACCCTGAACCCTAAACCCTAGACCTTAAACCTTACACCCTAGACCCTGCACCGTAAACCCAGACCCTAAACCCTAAACCCTAGACCCTGAACCCTAAACCCCTAGATCCTAGACCCTAAACCCTAAACACTAGACCCTAGACCCTGAACCCAAAACCCTAGACCCTAAACCCCTGAACGCTAGACCCTAAACCCTCAACTCCAAACCCTCAACTCCGAGGGTCTGGGGGTTCGTTTTGAAGGGTTTTAAGCCTTATAGGCCATCCATCCTGAAACCCCTCCAGGTGTTAGGGCCAGTTAGGCTTTAGGGTTTAGCGCTTAGGGTCACTTAGGGTTTAGTGTTTAGGGCTTAGGGTCACTTAGGGTTTAGGGTTTAGGGCTTAGGGTCACTTAGGGTTTAGGGTTTAGGGCTAAGGATCACTTAGGGCTTAGGGTTTAGGGCTTAGGGTCGTAAACCTAGACCTACTCCAGACGCAAAAAGTTTGAGGATCCTTCTTGAATAGGGTGCAGGGACCCAAACCTAGGTGACAGAAGGCCACCCACAGTCCCACACTCCAAACCTCTCCCCTCTCCGCCCTCCCCTCCCTCAACACCTGAACCCCCAACCCTAAAACCCCTCAAACCTCCACACCCTAAATCCCAAACCCACCCTTAAAAGCCCTAAGCAGGGGCCCCGGGCCGATCTGCTGCTTGGGCACAGAGCACTCCCCCACTGCCCGCTCGCACATGGGGCTGAACTGGTCGAAGGAGCTGCTACGGTTGATGATATAAATCCTGCATTACCTTAGGGACCCTGAACTATGGGAATTATGGTATATTCCTTGTTATGGGTAATGCAGGATTGGTACCATGAACCGTAGGACTGTACTTTGAGTGCTTGTGAGGGCTGATTCATAGGGATTGGTGGCTTCGGGTTTCGTTCTAGATACGGGATTTAGAGCCTCAAGGGTTTTGGGTTCGGGGGCTCGGGCTGTGTTGAAAAAGCACTTTGTACAGGTGGATTTTCGGGGGAATTGGGGACCCAAACTTATACCTCAACCTAAAAATACGGAACCTTACTTTCGTTTGGTAGGCTTGTCAAAAAATCTCGGAAGTTTGTACTGGGATCCTACACGAGTGAGATCATGTCAGCTGTAGAACAAAGTACCATTCCTCCGGAGAGCTCACCTCCACTCTTCCGGAGCCCAGAAACCTGGAAATCCTGGAGCTGAGCCCTTGGGAGTTCCTTAGGGCTGGGGTTTAGGGTTTAGGGTTTAGGGTTTAGGGTTTAGGGTTTAGGGTTTAGGGTTTAGGGTTGTCCCTTTTCCCTTTCAGGATCCTTAATACAAAAATGCGTTAAACCAAAAAAAGAACTACAACAGAGACTGTAGGTAAGGGTCTGGGGGATGCCTGGCAGAATACACGCCAAACGGGCATACTGCAGGGGCCTAAATAACTACAAATTCCTTTTGCGGGGTTCCCTGTTGTAAGTATAGTATCATGGGCCCCAAAACCCTATTCGAATTATAAGGCCCCTATGTTAGTATGAGGGCATCCACCCCAATCCCGATTGTTAACCACTATGCATTTCGATTTTGAATCTGATCCATGCAGCTAGCGAGCGGGCCTTGAGATTTAGAACAGGGTTTGGGGTAATTACAGTAGCTATACCTATAGTCTCCATTGTAATTCCTTTTTCTGGCTTAACCAATTTTGTATGAATGATCCGAAAAGGTAAACCCGAAGTGGAACTACAATGGAGACTACAGGTACTCCATGCTTCCCTATTCCGAGGCCCCTGCCACCCGAAACCTCCGAAACGATGCTCGAGCTTTCGCCCCAAACCCTGAACCCTGAAACCTGCACCCTAGGCCCTAAAGCTTAGACCCTCAGCCGCAACCAAAGACCTGAACCCCAAAACCTAAACCCGAAAACCTATGATGTAGGGGCTTAAATACTTGCCAATACTATTCTGGAGGTCTCTTATTGCAATTATAGTAGAATGGCCCCCAAAACCCTATTCTAAGTATTCAGGCCCCTATACTATCCCAAAATCTAAAGCCCCTTGCTGTTGCGCCTTAAACCCTAAGCCCTAAACCCTAAACCCTAAACCCTAAACCCTAAGCCCTAAACCGCTGTTGAACGCGCCTCCAAGTTCAAACGGCTTTCCTCGTCGCCCTGCAACCAGAACTCCGAAAGGACCTCGGGGCAGCAGTTGAATTAATCTGTAGCGGCCTTATTCAGGGTTTAGGGTTTAGGGTTTAGGAAGTTTAGGATTTAGGGTTTAGGGTTTAGGGCCTTAGTAATTTGCTATTGGGCTTCTATTTTACGGACTAAGTTCACGAGAGTAGGAACACTTGTCGGTCGTTGCTGTTTGCACCTCTGGGCTCTCGTCTTCACTTTCTCCGGCATAACTGCAATGCTAGTTTGTGGCGTAGAACTTGGACATATGTGCGCATCATATGCATGAGCTGAAAATACCCTAAACCCTAACCCTAAGGGTCCAAGTGCCCATTATTTAAGGACTTTGCGGCCTTTTGGGGTACCTAAAACCATAAATAAGGACTACTTGGACCCACCCTAAACCGTAACATTGGCTTCGCGGCCCAACCCATGGCGATGGGCGATGCCCTGCAAAGCGCAGGTCGTAGATTGCTAGACCACTAAACTTCATGCAGGTTCCGGTTTGGGGTTTCGGGTTTAGGGTTTAGGGGATTAGGGTTTAGGGCAAGGAAGCAGAGAAGTCTCATTAAAAGTCAGAGTTGTCGCATGTAGAGGCCACAGCCTGTGCGGACAAGAGTGATGTATTCAATTAGATCCCTAAACCCTAAACCCTAAACCCTCAAACAACTAGATGACATCACACAATTGCGCCCGGAGACGACTTCAGGCAGAAAAAAACGAGCGAGAAAGTATTGTCATAAACCCCAAAGCTTAAAACAACCCATAAAGGCTGCATCCATACATTCCCGGGCATTTACATCCCTGGATCCATGCCCAACTGGGTCTAAACCCTTACTTCCTACATCTTCGGAGGAAAAGGGTACTTGGAGGTTCATGGGTAGTTATTAACTGGAGTTCTATAAGTACAATAGTTATAACCCATATTAGGGGATTTATGATAACCCTACCTATAACTACCCATGAACCTCTAAGTAGGTCATCCAACTTCTCGAGCAGACGTCGGCACGACGGCGGGATATCCTGGTGGCATAGGAAGATGCCGTTCCCCGTCTTGCCGTATTTGGATTGAGGCGGCCAGAATTACAGAAACGGCCGACCACTATATTGACATAGGGAGGGGCCTTAATTATCAGAAACGGGTTTTGGGGTATATTCTTTTATAGTTATAATAAGGAGCCCCCCAAAATAGTATAGGTAATTATTTAGGCCACTATATCACTCACTGGCAATCCCTGAGCCCGGGGCTCGACCCAATCTGGACTGAGCCCCCCGCCCGTTCGGCCCAGAACAACATCATGTCATGCGGCCTCAGTCACGGCATAGGGTTTAGGGTTTAGGGTTTAGGGTTTAGGGTTTAGGGTTTAGGGTTTAGGGTCTAGGGGGTAGGTTCCAGGGCTAGGGTTTAGGGGGGACGTCGTGTTTAACAGGATGCAAAATAAGCAGATGCTTCATAGTGTAGTGTTGCTGTAAAGACAGGTTGGCAGGTTTCAGTGCGTAACAAGCACATACACCTCCATTATGGAATCAGGTTCCAAAAGACCATCCTAATAATGGTTTTGGGGGGACCTAATTCCATAGTAGTACTAATACATATGGACCCCAGTTAAGATTTGGACCCTGCGGGTGTGTTTCGGGCTTCAGCAACTCACGCTGACCCAGAGAGCGCACTATCCCTTAAAGAAGGAGTAGAGTATTCGACCGGTATATGAATATATCACGTTACCTCATACTATGTCAGTTACTATGTTATAAGAAACATAAGAAACATTAGATTCGACTAGATTATGTGACATGTGGAATATATACAAATGTGCAAACATATTTATATATATATATGTAAAAAAAAGACGCTATATAAACAAGGGACATAATCTTACGGTTTGTAGCAGATTCCTTAGTTAAGCGGTATTGGGCTCTCAAGCTAAAGGTTTTGAAGTTTTGACAGGTTTAGGCGCTAGGATTTACGGGTCCAGGCCGGCATGACAACTTGTGATCTGTAAACCCATGCTTCCAGTATGTGTGTGTGTGTGAGAGCGTGTTAATGTAGGACACCTTGAGACTAAGCGCAGACCCTGAATCGTAAGCCTAAACCCTTCACGCTCAACCATTAGCCAGTCTCAGATCAGCTGCAGCTTGCTATCGTTCAGAAACAGTGCGAGCAGAGAGCCTCCTCGGTAGCATCGTTCTTTGTGGTCACCACGGAAGCCATATTCTTAGAGGCACGTACCTGCTCCTTGGACAGAGTAGTTGGACACTCGAGTCCAAGGTTGGGATGTGAGGGTATCGGGTGCACCCCCCAGTTCAACGCGAGCGCCGAGTCTTGGCTCCAGCAGCACTAGCACATGCCACTTCTCTTCCCACTTTCCAGTTTTCATAGGCACCGCTGCACTCCTGCGTCCACGCAACGCGAGCTTCGGCATCCGTCAGCCTGTCGCCGGCTGGCACCTTCTTCGTGCCGTCTTCGCTGCCAGGTTTAGGGTTTAGGGTGCTTAGCTGCTTGACCACAGCCGTAAACGCAAAGCTCCTGCCTCCAAATCATCGCCCTCACTGTATCATGTTACTTACGAATCACGTTAGATTTCAATCTATTTCAATAAAGCCATGGTCAAAGTCAGATACATCATGTCCTTGTGTGATGCGGTAGTTCATTGTAGATCGGACTGGCTCCCACATCTTCGACGTCGTGGGGAGCCCCTAAAAATTGGCAATCTCTCACAGACTCTGCTTTCGGGATCCTTAACCCTAAGGCTCTAAGGAGACTCATATTCTAGGGCTTCTGGGCCCAAAGACCATACTATATAAGGCTTTTGGGCTATTTTGAGCCTTAGGGTAAGTTTGGCTGGTTCAAGGGGGGAGAGTACAGGAGATCCTGACGAAAGAACCTTAAAAGCGAACCTCAGGAAGCACTTGGGATAATTAGGGATTGCTACTGCTGATGATATAAATCCTGCATTACCTTAAGGACCCTAAACTCTGCGAATTATGGTAATTCCTTATTGTGGGTAATGCAGGGTTTATAGATCATCAACGGTAGGTTCTCTACCCCTCTTGGACTCCCCTCCCGTAAGGATACTAAAATAATCTGACTGAGCAGAAAAGCTCGACCCACCGCGCCCAGCGAACCCAGACCAAGGGGTGCAAAATGCACTGCTCTGATTAAAGGAAACTACAGGTGGGGAGTTTAGGGTATATAGGCTTCTTTAAGGCATATAGACCTTCTAATATGGCTGGTATAACGGTACCTACCCACCTGAAAACATCCTAGATCTGAAGGGCTCAATGCACACTTCTACAGCTGCCACAACGGCGCTGACGAGGATCAATATCTAAGACACGAGACGCGTGATAATGATAGAACGCATCATCCGCAACAACGGCTACACCAGAAAGAAGATGATAGGTGCTGGAAACCGTAACCGGTACAGCCTAAACCACCGAAATCAAACAAGCCCTGAACGTTAAGCTCAGAACTCTCAGAAAGCTAACCATCCGTAAACACCCGGAACTATAAGCTAAACACCTTAACCCACAACCCCTACATGAAAACCTGAACCCTACACCCAGGGACTGTGAACCCTAAACCCTAAACCATAGACCCTAAAGCTTAAACCCGAAACCCTAAATCTTAAACCCTACACCCCTAAGCCCCCAAGCAACTAAGACCTAAACCCTAAACCTTAAACCCTAAACCCTAAATCCTAAACCATATAAACTTAAACCTTAAACCCTAGACAAGTCAGAAAATCAGAGTCTGGCTTGCAGGGGTTCGAGATATCGGCCGCGTGCGCCAAGACTTCGAGAAGCTCCAACTTATCCTGGAGGAAGGCCTGCCGAGGCTTACGAAGTTTTGGGGGGTTTCGGGTTTAGGGTTTGGTTGAGGGTTACGAAGATTTGGGTTTGGGGTTAGGGTTTAGGGGTTTAGGGGTTTGGGGTTATAAGGTTTTGGAATTAGGGTTTAGGGTTTAGGGTTTTTTGGGCTTGGCTGAGGGTTACGAAGATTTGGGATATAAGGTGTCAGGATTAGGGTTTGGGGGTTTGGGGTGCCAGGTTTAATTACCAGGGTCTCAGGTGCAGGGTATAAGGCTTTGCATCGGGGATGTAGGGTATTTAGGGCGTAGGCTCCCTGCACCCTAAACCAGAGACCCGAAATCCAAGGCCCTATACCCTAAACCCCGAACACTAAGCGGCAGTAGGGTAGGGCGTAGGCTCCTTAAACCCTAAACCCGAATCCCGAAATCCATGGCCCTAAACCCTAAGCCCTGAACGTAGGCTCCTTAAACCCAAAACCCGAATCCCTAAATCCAACGTCTCATTAAACAGCAAACCCAAAACTCTCGGCTTGCTGCAAGCGCCCAAGGCCCTTCTCTCCTCGACACCCTGTAGCCTGCCCGGGTGCCAAGCCAACCCAAATCATGAGCCAACAAAAATCGTGTAGGGGCTTAGCGTTTAGGGTTCAGGGTTTACGTTTGGGGAGCTTCAACAATCGAACTTAACTGACTCACACAACAGTATCTGCAGGATGCCGAACATGTCTGGTCTCAACGTATCCAATGTACGTCTTGCATTCCTCATCAAACCCTGATTAAACCCTGCACACCTGCACAGAACCCGAATTGAACCATGTACTACTCGCTTGAACCATCTGCCTCCAATAGCCCTATGATGCAAAAAATACTGCATCACCTGAACCCTATAGTCTCTCTAAACCCTAATAAATGCAGTTTTCAGGGCCGACAACCTCCCCCTGAAGCCGGAAAAAAGCTAGAGCACGACCGCCCGCCTGCTCCCCTGCCGGAGTTTCGGCCGTGGGCTTGTTTGCCTGTTTTAGGGTTTAGGGTGTAGGGTTCAGGGTTTAGGGTTTAGGGTTTGGGGTTTAGGGTTCAGGGTTTAGGGTTTAGGGTTCAGGGTGTAAGGTCCGCATCTTGCTTCCACAATAGGCCAGGGAGATTAGAGGTTAAACTTTCAAACTACGACTAGATTATAAGAACCTAAAAAGTTTAAAGGTTGGGTGTTGGGAACTCAGGCAGAGGGTTAAAGCTTAGGGTCTAGGGCTTGTCTCAGAAATAATGATGATGGCATTCCAAACAGAGGGCCACTGGGGCAGTATCAAGCAGCCCTAATAAAGTCTGAAAAGTTGATTCTTTGTTACTCTTAAGCTTGCGGGGTGGGCTCCCCAAGCCCTGAACCCTGCTTGCCCTAAACCCTAAACCCTAAACCCTAAACCCTAAACCCTAAACCCTAAACCCTAAACCCTAAACCCAGAAAAAGCCTTCGGCTCCGGCCTTACAGCTTTCGAGTATAGACAGCCCTGGAGCCAAGGTCCCACAACCCTATATGGGAGTTTCCGAAAATTAGGGGGTACCTTATTTTGGGGTCATTATAATAAGGATCCTATTATTTGGGGTACTATATCAGGGTCCCCTATTTTCGGAAACTCCCATGTTGCTATCGATCACTGCTGTTCTTCTTATTATATCTATTGCACTTGTTATTGTCATGAGTTGCCCTAAACCCTCAAACCTGATCCCTAAACCCTATAAACCCTAAACCCTCAACCCTCATCCCTAAACGGACATGAAAACCAGAGTCCATGTATCGCGATCACGGAATCGCTCCGAAGGCTCTAGCTCGCCATTTTCTCAGCGAGATGTGAAGGAAGTGTTGATGGACAAAATTCTGCATGACGCAAATGGGTAGTTGTCAAAATTATGGTCCCTTTTGGGGTACCCTAAATAGTAGGTGCCGTATTATAATAAGGACCCAAAAAGGGACCCTAATTTTGACAACCACCCATATAGTTTAGTACCATAAATCCCATAGTTTAGGTATATAGGGTCATGCAGGATTTTGTCCATCAGCCGAATGACCCCAGATTACGTAACCGTGTTCCTTTACTGCATTGTACTATGTTTTGGTATATTCTAGTAGATGCCAGGGTGATCTAGTATGTTATAGCTTAGATGATAGTATATACGAACTACGGCAAACTGTATTAGATTATGTAATATTATAGGACATCACAGTTTATCTTGAAGTACCTTGGATAGTCTATGATCGCTTGAACCCTAAACCCTAAACCCTAAACCGAGAAGCGTCTCTAGGGTCCCTGCCACCCAACTCATCAAGCTCTTCTGGTGCTGGTTGTGCTTCGCCATGTCCGTGCCCAGCACGATCTCGATCATTCCCCTGCCGGTTGGGGGTATAGGCTTGATGGTCAGGGTTTATGGGTTTGCAGTTTAGGGTTTGTGGGTTCAGGGTCTAGGGGTGTAGGGCTTTGGGTTTGGGTTTCGGTGATGTTTATCCCTAAATCCGTGCAAGAGTTGCACAGCAGGATCTCAGCTTGCTTCTTGTGCGAGACTTGCTGTAGACTGCACATTGCATCACTGGGCTGAAGACTTTCCAAATCCAGTGCTCTAGTAGGGTTCTGCGATGTTACGCAGTTGTGCTGCTGCAGGCTGTTGAATATGATCGGTACTGCAACGGCACGTGGCATATCCCAATCAGGAGCACGGCCCAGTCAAAGTGCATGGGTTTCAGCTTCAAGGTGCAAGCTTTTGGGGTTTGGTTTCGGGTGTAAGGTTGAGGGCCTATGGGTTAGGGGTGACGGATTTCGAGCACCCTTTTACACCAGACTGCGAGACAAACCATCAGCCTCCAGCTATGGCTCTCTTTCCAGCTGTAAGATTGAGGCAGGGGCTGTGGGTGGCTGAACACAGGGGCCGAAATAGCTGGATTAGAGTTTTGTACACTAGCATATATTTGATTACGGAATAAATAGATCTCAAATGAATCAGTAAACTAATATGTAAGCAGAGAAATGGAATCCTCAGGAAGCTGGCTTCTACAAAGGGGTCGTGCCTCAAGGACTAACAAGGGGCCTTCGTAACAAGAATAGGGTCTTGGGGTACATTATGTTATCACTATAAAAGGGAATGCCCCGGAATAGTATTCTTTCTTTCGGATGGTGCCAAGTCCGGTTAGGACGTACCACAGGCATGAATTCAACGGTGAAACGAGACAGCGAGCGACGAGTGTTCGGCCATGTTAGCCGTCTGCTCAAGCCACTCGAAAAAGCAGCCCCCATGCGCAAAGGGGACAGGGAAGAGGAGAACGCAACGCCTCCCGAGGCGGGCAAGACCGAAGGCAGCAGCGACCCAGGTGAGAACGGAATCCAACCAACGCTGGTGTTGACGCTGCAACCGGAGGGTGCAGGAGGGAGGAGCCCAAAAAGGGCTACAAGAAATCGGCGGGGCCCCAAAGCAGACAATGAGGCAACCAACATGAGCCAAGTCCAGGCTCTCCACTCCGAAGTCAACGCGTCTCCAAGTCCCTGCATGTCCCGGAGCAAACGCAGAGGCGCCATCAGCCGGAACATTCCCAACCATAAGACCCGGAAGCGCCGAAAACGCCTCAGTCAAAGGCAAGGGAACAAGGGAGGGCTGGTATCCAAAGGCCTCCCCAGACTCCTCGGCAGCCTCATCAGCCTTGGGGAACGCCGATGCAGCATCACACAGCAGCTCTGTGCGCCAGCACAGCAGAACATCTTCTGCCCACTGGCGGAGCTGGCCCTCGGGCAGCTCTTGCAGCCAAACACGCATGGTGCTTTCAAGCAGATCAAAGGGCTCAATCACAGAGGTGACGACATCAAAGATGTGGGAGTCATCAGTAAAAACAGTGTCCCTCAGTCGGACAAGAAGAGCAGGACAATGATCTGGCCCGAGCGGGGGAAGACGGCAGAAGTTGAAGCCCGGGGTCCAGCTCGCTTGCGTCGGCCCATCAGGCAGCACCAGTGCAGGTAAGAGTCCATCAAGCTGCTGTTCAATGGCCTGGCAGCAGGCCGGCGCGCCTTGCAGGTGCTTGATCAGTCTCCTGTGCTGGGCATACGTAGAGCCGCAAGCTTGGCATCGGAGTCCAACTGCGCACCTCCTGGCTCTGGCCCTATACTTATGTGATTTAGCCGCGTGAGCAGCCCACGACTGAAAGTCCCCAAAAGCCACGCCGCAAGGCACACACGCATGCGCAGCATGAACAATCTCAGGAGGAGGGCGGACGCAAGGACTCCAACACTGACGCACGCAGCTTTGCATGTCAGCAAGAGCGGAGTGACAGCCCAAGTGCCATTGTAAGGCTCTGCGGATAAGACCTTTCCACCTCCCCGGCTGGCGGACCATGACTTCCCGCCAACTCTCCCAATCCGTATGAAAGTCGCCCAGAGTGACAGTGTGCCGCAGGGCAGAGTAGAGCCAGTCACAAGCAGACCTCAAGGCACCGAGGGCTTTGGGGGCATTTTGTAACACTGCCCATGCAGCGTCAGGTCCCCCGCGAACAAGCTGGCCTAAGAAGCGCATACGCTCACTCTGTAACAAGTCAAGAGGAGAAGGGAGCTGCAGCCGAGCCAGCATTCTTTCTCGACTGACCTTTTGATCGGCATTATGTGGGACGCGCAGCAAGCGACGATACAGGGAATAGATGCCTTGTTCGTACATGTGCCAGCTGGAGTTGCACATAAGGGGCCATGATCCGGCGCCTGTCATCAGCACCGACAACACGTGCGCCCTGAAGAGCGTCACACGCTTTGTGAGCATGATCTGCCTGGCACAGAAAAGGCGGGTTTGCCCTTCCTTAAACGCACCTCGGGCAAGGCCAAGTTTAGTGCGAATCTCCGGCAGCAAAGAGCCGGAGAAGGCGACTGTGGAGCCAAGGTGCCTATACTGTGCAACCGCTTCCAACTGCGCCCCAGCCACATGTTCCCTCAGGACGCGCATACGGCCGCCGTCGCGGTTGTAGACTCTCTCTCTGACCTTCTTGGCTCCAACTCCGACCGGACACAACATAACTGCCGTCTTTTTTGGTCCAATGTTGGCCGACAGTCCGTGCGACGACAGCCCATCCAGCGTAACACCAGCCAGGTGAGCCATTACGCCCGGCAAGGTGCTTGCACTGCTGGCAACAGCACAAGTGGCAAGGTCGTCCGCGTACGCGATGTCATGGAGCGGCTCCTGACAACAATCGACACGGCCAGGGCATACAAGGACGAGCTCGCGACGACCGGTCCACTGCAAAACGGGTAGGCAATCAGGAGGTAGTAGGGCCCGCCTCCTTCCCAACGCTCTATTGAAGAGGAGGGTAAACACCGAGTCCGCCAGGCAACCGCCAGGTCGTGTGCCTCGGGCAGTCATGACCACCTGGTCATCGCCCGAGAGCGTGAACCAGGTAAAGCTATGAAGCTCCCGTACAAGTCCTCGAAGAAGCTCTGAGCACTCGCCTTGCTGCAAGACCGGGCTGTCCGACACGAAGGCTGCAAGTGCCTGCAAGTCATCCGCCGCGAGTCCCAGGGATTCGACGACGGCCTCAAAGGGCCGCGGTGTCAGGTCAGGTCCTGTCACAGCCTCCCTGACCACAGCGTAGTACGCTGAGACAAGATCAGTAAACAAGATCCCCGCAGAGATTCCGCGGGTACGCGCCTGCTCCAAGAAAGTGCGGCTGAGGAAGGAGCCAAACACAAAGGACGAGCCCTTGCGCCCCCCCAGCTGGAGAGCATCTGCCTGGCTATCAATTTCCTTGGCAATAAGACGCCTCAGGGATTTATGCAGGACCTTGTCCAGAACCGATTGTGCCAAAATCCCTCGCTGTGAGCTGCACTCCAATTTGTCCGCTGCCGAGGCCTTATCGATGTGATAAAGGACCCCTCCCTTCAGCCCTATGGGTTCGGAACGATAAATCATGGCCTTGAGGACAATCGGCCAAAACACCGCAGCCATATCAAAAGCGAACTTCTTGCAGATGGCGGGCGGAATGCCGTCTGGTCCGGCCGCTTTACGCGGTTGCACTTGTCGAAAGGCATCCATAATGGCACAAAAGTTTGGCATCTCCGCGGCATTGAGTCCCTCCGCCACGTCAAGAGTCGCCTGCCACTCCATGCACTGAACAGCCATGTCCTCAGGCGCGAGGACAATGCCTCCCTCCATGTCCGCGAAGTGTTCGCGCCACCGCTGTAGTGAGCGGGGGGGCTTAAA